ACAGACCTAAGGAAAACAGACTTGAAGAAAGTGGGACTCAAAAGAACAAGGAAGGAATTGAGTAGAATAAACAGTAGACCATAAATTATGTGGGGGGAAGGGAGATGGCAGAATTAGGGGAATGACACCAAGATTGATCTACTGAAGGAGATGAGAATCTTCACACAATTTATTGTGTGATAACACACTATAATTATCCAGTTACATGAAAAGGTAATTTCTATTAACCTATTTCTGCATTTGATTGAATAACTAAAGTGATTCATGCAAATTTACAACTCCTTTAGTAAATCAGCCCAAGTGTGAAAAAAAGGAAAATGGAAGAAGCCCTGCATTCATACACAAATATTTAAAAGGTGCAGCTGAATGGTGGAAAGCCTTCAGACAATGGTGACCACTCATAACCTAATTCTAAAGGACACCCCAGAATGCCTACATGTGTCAACCACATCAATATAAGGTATAGATATGTCCTGTTGCACTCCTTAGCGATTCCAAAGAATAACCTAAAAATCAGGCGGGTGCTTGAAATGACCACGGGTGGCACCGTGAATCTCACAGAGTCCAGAAACATCACCAGCACACCATTTAAACGTGAAGAAAATCCATTTCATGACACATTTGTCATTCAAATACTATTCAATACTATTTTAATGACAAATGTGTCATGAAATGGATTTTCTTCACGTTTAAATGGTGTTGCTGACATTTCTGGACTCTAAAGCACATCAATATGACTCCCCCCTCAGCCAATTCAATGACACACAATTCCCTCTTGGAGTCCTTGCAACACAGCAGTTTACCAAACTAATCAAATTTTAACTGCAATATAAACATATATACAGGCAAGCAACATCTTCATTCGTTCTGACACTAACATTTTGAGGGTTATTCACTAAGCGGCTGGAGGGAGCCAAGTGGATACCTGAGCTGAAGCCCTTTCAGCTATTCACTTCAGCCGTGTACAGCTGTTATCAGCCGTACATCGGCTAGCTTCGGCTGAACCAAAGTGAAGAGCACGTTCGCCTATGCCGACCCAACATCCAGCTTCGGCAGACTGTTCTCTCTCCACTTCAGCTGTGCCGAGGCTTATGCTTTCGATTCAGCTGCTGTATGGGCTATTGTGAATATCCCATACAGCAGCCCTTCGGTTCGGCTGAACCAAGGGCTTTCCACAGCCGAAGCAAGGATTAGCCAAAGGTTCGCCTTAATCATTCGACTTCTTAATGAATAATCCCCTATGTATTATAGATTTACATATATTATGGTTTGCAGACAACCTTGCCCTAAATGATTAACACCTGTATGTTATATTTTGTGCCCTACGACTATACATAGCGGTTATGTTTTGAAACAAAGTCTTCACACGTAATGGGCTCAATAATCAAAGCTTTACTACAGGGATGAGGATCTTGATTTTAATCCTGCGACTTATTTTCAAAACTAACTTTTTTGAAAAGATCCTTATTCTCCCATGTTATCATTGCAAATTTAGCATAATGACTTTGTTGACACTTTTCAGTGTTTTTTGATTCACATCTAATGACTGCTAAAATGACTTAACTCAGTGGTTCTCAACCTGTGTAACCTCAGGACCCACATTTCTCCTTGGTCATTAAGTCGCGACCCAAGTCGCACTGCAATGGAATGAAGGCATTGCGGTACCGCGCGTTCTGGTGCGGTCAATTGAACTATGGGTGGGAGGTGAGTTTGGGGTGCCATTCAAATGAATAGCAATGCAACACACCTCCCACACTAGAACGCGTAGTCGGTGCAATTGCGTGGTACAGTGTGTTAATTGTACAGGAATGTGCGATAAACCCACTGTACTAGTGTGAACGGCCCTCAAAAACACTGACCGACACACACAACCACAGACACAATCTCACTCAGACATTTTCACACACATTTTTTTTTTTTCTTTTCACATCCATCCAGTCTCCGGACCTTACGAGAACTGGAGTGGATCCTCAGCCGGGGGTCCAGTGTGGGCTGCTGCGTTGTGACAGAGCTCCATCCATATGTGCATTGCTTGTACAACTCCCCTGCGTGCCCTGTAGAGGTACCGGGAGCCGGGATGTGACTTCACTCTGGTCCAGGCACCTCTACGTGAGGGAGCTTTAAGCAATGCACATATGGATGGGGCTCCGTCACGGCCATAGCTCCAGCCCACCCCACCTCAAGCTGACTGAGGCTGCGCCGGGCAGCATATTTTAAATGGCTGCTTGGTGCGAGAAGTGACTGTGCTGCGCTAGGGTGAGGCAGAGAAGCCTTTCACCTAGAAAAGTGGAAGGCACTCGGCGACCCACTGAACATGGGGTCGCTACCCACTTTTGGGTCACGACCCACCAGTTGAGAACCAAGGACTTAACTGATCAGAATCAAATAGTTTGCGTTGTATGTTCTAACACAACGCATGACTACAGTCCCATTAAGAACACCTTATTTTATGTAAATGATTTTTCACAATTTTCCTCAAAAAAAACTTACTTAATAACTCCCCTCTGAGCTGATGACAACACACAAACCCTTCCCCCGAATATCACTATAACAATATACCAAAAATAGGTGCTTCAACCTAGGACTATTCACCACCCACCATTATTATGCACCCATGTAATGATGATGACCTACAATTCTAGCCCTAAATTAATGAGCAACTATCAATCCCGCCTTTTCGGGACATGGGTTCACCCTATGCCACAACCCCCAAATCATTTCTACTAATGCCTATCGCTGGACTGCTGAACACCCTTCCAACACTGGCAAACTGGCATTGCAATGTAATATCCAAATCAAAACAATCCTTAAATAATAATTTTAGTTTGGGATTTGGGAGTAACAGGACAAATAATTTCTATGCAGAGATTAAAAAGATTTAGCCATGTACTAATCCATTTTCATCATGAAAAAATAAATCTATTTTGTGTATGAACTTGGCAGTATTGCTCCCATATAGTTGTGTGGGTAGTCTATTGTAAATCTACCACATCTCCATGACAACAAAACCGGTTAGTAAATCTACAGCAGCAGTCACCTGTGTGTACACATCCGATCACTAAAAAATGCAGTATATAACAAGCCAGGACAGTTAGTTTATACTTTATTGCATAGCTGTCTTTATGATTATTGCTTGTTTTGCAACTATGCATTCAATGTCAGAAGAGGTACTTTAAAACAACAATATTTTCTGTAACGCCTTATTTAGTACAGGTAAAGTCTTCTTTCAAAATGGAAAAACCATTAGCAGAAACGTTTTGATAAGGCCTTTTTATGGCCTCTATATACAAACCACCACCCTAAGCAGTCTTAAACAAAGGCGTGAACATTGCCTGTTCACAAGAAAGCATTCGATTCCTGGGCCGCCTACTCAACCACAAGAAACCTTAGATCACCAGAAGGAAGGAACACCAAGGCACGATACAGCTATATTAAGGTCTTTGCATTTCAGACATATTACCAGCTCTTGGTGATTTTATAAAATAAGACAAAATTGATAGATGTTCACTCGCACTCCAACTTGATGCAGAGTCAATCCCTTTATTGACTGGAATAGTGTCACAATTATAGCCATTTATAAAAGAAGAAGCCCCATTCCTAAACTGTTCATGTGGGTTCAATAAGGTTTTAGTTACAGACATGGAAGAAGGTGCATATTTATCAAATCAGAGGTCCGCATTTGCATGTTGGTTCCTTGTAAGAGACATACATATTGAAGCAAGTGGGTAACCATGACAGTCAGGAAATCTGAGTTTGCAGAATGAGAAGGCAAATCTAAGCTTGGATAGATCAGCACTTACTGACAAAAATCATAAAAGCATCCATCATGGCTCATTATTGTAAATGTCAAATTGGTAATGTCGTGACATGATCTAACCATGGACAGACAGCTGTTCCAAGTTGTAATACAGTATCTGCATGCAGGGAACAGCTTTGCAGATTGCCATAACATGGATTATGCAGCAGGTTTCCCCTCACATCCTGATGCTAGGGGGCAGAAGGCAAAAATGATTGGTGCTTGAAGCATTGTAAGCTTCCATTTTAATACTATAGTAAAATGTCAAGTTTATCCCCAAATTAGCAACTGAAGTACTTCGATCACAAGCCAAGGATCAAAAAGAACACTGCTCTCAGTATGTGCCCAGCTTTTAGACTAAATTCACACTTTGATGGCTGGCAAGCCATTAAATCGACCAGTTTTCAATTAGCTTTTTTAATAACCTACAGAACAAAGTGAGATGACTAATTTCCTCCCAAGACCTTGAACCTAGGCATTAAGCGAAAATCTAAAAGTACATAGGTCTCATGTATTAATGCTTTTGTTTGAACCATATGCCATTGCATTTACACTAGTAGCGAATCTAAGTGCATCCTATTGTACATTTTAAGTAGGAAGACTGAGGCCAAGACACGAGACTATCCTCCAAATAAAATAACTTTATTTAAAACTTATTGAATAAGCAAAAATACAAATTCCAAAAAAGTTCATTTTACTTCATGGTTTACAAATATACAAAATAGAAGTTGGCATAAGTTTATATTACATATTTATTATGTAAAGTCCTATATAGAAAACAAAAACATTTGTTCTGGATAAGGCATATGCGGGAAAAAGACCATTGTACAAATTTATTGCACATAGAAACCACAGTGCATCACATACTGTCTGCATATACAAATATATTAAACAAAATAAATCAGGTTTACACACCCGACTTTGGTCAAAATTGAAAAAAAAAAAAATTCGGAAGACAAATAGATTTCCTTGTCGAATATGCAGCAGTTTGAGAACTTTGGCTTCAATTTCGGTACCATTAGAAGTATCAGCCTGTAAGCACCATTAGCGAATTGTATTTATTCCTTCAACCAGCATTACATACTACCTGTGTGAACATGCACACCAAATTAAGCATCCAATGGAATAATAATGAGATATTTCCACAAATGTTACACAATGTCATTGTGCAACAAGAAGGAACAAATTATTCACGGACCTTTTCTGGCCATTTGCTCCCTGAAACACACCTTAAGCCCTTAGCCTATCAGGGGGAGGATTATGATCAACAACAGCAGCAGGTGGAACAAGACTGAACACTTCTGAATAGTGCAATCAACAGTTTTCCAGTCCTTACAATATAGTTCCAGGTTTAAGTCCAGTTTGATCCAAAAATGGAATGCCTGAAGATCCAGTCAAAACCCCATTTTTGTAGTCCATTAAATTAGCATGTTCTCCATTATGCTGTGGAGAATAGTTACACTGAGGTTTCCAAGTTTTGATTTCTCACACAATTTGTAGTGCTTGCGTTCAGTTTCTCTCCCATCCCCTTGTAATGTGTGCTGTAAATACTGAGACTTCTTTAGGCCTGCAATCACTTTTACCACTTAGAAGTGCCTTTTCATATGCAAGGCAAGGTGGTCTGACCTAGAAAAGGCCCGATCACACCTTTGGCACTGAAATGGCCTATGGCCAGTATGTTTTCTGTAGTGGCGCGTCAATTCATCAGAGCGAGCAAATTTCCACCCGCACCCTTCCCAGTCGCAATGGTATGGCTTTTCACCTACACAAAAGAAACAAAAAACAAAAAGTTAGTAACACGACAACACCCCAAATTACAGAAAAGTGGCTAATCTACTGGAAAACCAAGAAAAGCAGTGCGTGTAATTGATAGAAACCAATTAAAATCCATCTGTCATTCGTCCAGTGTAGCTTAGAAAATGCAAGCTGGGACCTGATTGATATGGACAACCCAGTCTATTTCAGACATTATTCATTTGCCATAGAGTCCCCCTCAGCTCACAAAAAACAATGCAATAATAAAAAAAATAAAAAAAAGTTGCTTGGATTCCAGATTTACAAAAATACATGCAATAAAGACTTTGGAATGGCACACCTGTCATGAGCCAGACATATGTTAAAACCAGTTTATCTTCATTTTAACATTTACAACACAAACTATAATGCTTCGTGCATTGTAACATTCTTTGGAAATACATGCTTTTAGTTACTCAACATGGTGCATCTGATTTAATACTACTATGCAAGAAATCTGCTGTAACCTATAGGAAGTAACCAGTGTTCACTAGTCACGCTACAGTAAACCTGCCGAAAGCCAGCACTTCGACTGGTTGCTGTAGGATCTAACCTATAGTGTGCCATTTTAGAGACCAATTAATGGATGGCTGGTGGAAAAGCTAAAAAATAAATAAAAATAAATAAGTTCTTAAAGTGAACTTGCTGGCTTTAAGTTTCAAATTTTAAAAATCCTCACAAAAAGGTGGCAGCTCTTACTTTCACAGCTTGAAAACACGCCTGAGTTTTGTCACGAAGGTTAGCTATACAGGTTACAACCTGATCTCATTTAGATTTACCATTAACTATAGGATAAATGTACTGCCCTTCTATACAGCAGGAGTGGACAAATTAATATGGAACCCAGGAGTCAGTCCATTCAAGCTAGGAGGATTTTTTATTTTAGTAGCCAGTTTTTTTAGTTGCCAGCTCCATTGACAACTAAAGAAAACTTCAAAAGTTAGGCACCAACTGTATTTTCTATGGAGCACTGGCTACATGGCTTCTGAGATTTGTGCAGCCCTGTTATACAGTCCAGGTAAACTCACTACATAGTTGTTGGCAAATGTAAAATAGGTTGTACAGTTAGTTTGTAGCCATTTTCCCAGCCGTAGTCACCAATGGTAGCCTTTGTGTTTCTTTAATGACTGGCTTCCTTTATTTTGCTGGCTAATGCACACTAAAAGTGACAAATTAAGGGTCAGGGCTAGTCCCAAGTAATAAACAGGAAAATGTCATATGCTGGTAAAATGTGCTGTTCATGTTAAATGTCTCTTTGTTTTGATGTAATCGTTTAATTTCCAGACTTCTAAAAAGTTCTAGAACACTGCAGGCGGAGGGAAAATGCCATTGTAGGAAAAGGTGACTCCATCATACAGCAAACTATACGTGAATGTATTTTAGCATTCAATACTTCATTATTCCACTTTTCAATGGAAACCTACTTTATAATGCAAAATATCAACTTATTTCATAAACTATAAATTACATTCAAGCTGAAAGACAGGTGTACCCAGGAACAAAGGTTAGTTAGAATGGGCATCAAAACTACCTAGGTTCTACACCTGTATTTATGATGCTATGACTTGCCAACAGTTAAGACAATACCTAAGCACTGCAGCAGATAGAAAACACCTCAAAGTCAACATGACTAGGCAGGGTAACACCAGTGGCAGACAAACTTAAGGAATAAGCTTTTGGGGATCCGACTTGAGATTAACTATCACTACACAGAGCAAGAAACTCCTTAACCAAATGAGTGCTGCAATAGTAATTAATAAAGTAGATGATCCATTTGAAATGGTGTCTTTTAAGGGAAAGGGAAAAAAGCTGCCCGTTTTATGGACTGTATAAAAGAATATAAAACTGAAAGCAGCTAGACTACAAAAAGGTAGAGGAAATTACGGAGGCCATTCATTTTCTTTTCAATTTTGTTCAGCAATTTACCAATTACAATACCCCAAGACTACTGCTAATTGCCTTTTAATACCCATCAGTTAAATGCAGAAAGTTTCCCCGAGATGATTAAAAGATGATCTTTTAAGGGTTCACTAGCAGGTCACATCACATGCTATCATTTGGTAACCGCAGTGGCCAAAAATTCCTAGTTCTACTCAACTGTTTTGTCCATTGCAAAGCAAAGAATGGTGCTTGCCTGAGAGCTACTGGGAGTCCATCTGTTAAAGGGTGACTATTTACAGGGTCTTAATTGGAGATGAGTCAATAGTGAGGTTTCCCCAAGACCCATACGTCTACACGAAACATCAGCTGTGAAATCAGGTTAGCCACAGCTCATCAACAGACAAGGAGTTATGTTTTTATGTGGCAACAGACAACATGCTCATAACTTGAAGTGACCCAAAAGGAGTTTAAAAAAAAAATAAAAAATAATATAATAAAAAAACACATTAAGGTTGACATCTTAACTATTAAAAACGTATTTGTGTATCACTCGGCTGTAGGTCTTCAAATCATCCCTGAATTCATGCTGACACTATCTTTCCTTCTGGAGGGTGGCTAATTTTGTTCTCCATGGTCTCAGTGTGTTGTAAAGTAACCACTGCTCCAAGCTCGCTCCCGTGAGGAACTACAATCTCAATATAAATTATTAAAACCTAATGTGAGATTGTAGTCCCATCACGGGAGCGAGGTTAGAGTGGTGGCTACTTTACAACACATACAGGGGACCAAAAGTAACCACCCTCCAGAAGGAAAGTGTCGGCACCAATCCAGAGATGATTTAAGGATCTACAGCCACGCGATACATTTTTTGGTAATAGTTAGGGTACTTGAATGCATTTAAGATTTACCCCCGAGTTTAGTGTCACTTACTACCAAAAATATTACATATAAGCATGCATCGTTTATTACGATCAATATATTGATAGATATCAATAGATCATCATCAACATAGTGAGGGAAATTTAAGTAACTTGCCAGAAGAATCCAATGTAATGGATATCGGGCTGCCTACTGGGCTGCCAAAAGGATTTGCCATAGGGCAAATCCACCTGCAAAGTTTTGAAGACCAATAACCACCACTGTACTGTGAGGAACACTTCTTATTGCTGCAGTGCTACTTTGGCACACCAGAGGGGGGATCCAAGCTGCAACCTGATAGTGAGATTGCGGGCTAGATTAGTTACTAATGTGGTAAATAGGATAAAACGTCCCCATTGATTCAGGTATGCACCAAAAGCAGTTAAAAGAAAGCTACAGTATATAATGTGTAAGCATAATAAAAAAAAAGTAGGGACCAGACAGATTAGGATTTTACAAAAATGTCAGTGTTTATAAAAATCGACAAAGTATTTTCTGAACATCCAAAATGTCACTGCAATTGAGGACTTTCACAATTCTCATACGTTTGGCCCTCAGGGCCTCTAGTGAAGATCAAAGTCACTTTACCTTATTGTTTGCTACAAATATTTTCTGCTATTCGAAACATTAATCTGATCTGTTGCTGCAAAAACTTGGCCAGGCTGCATAAGACATTAACCACACCTCAATGCCTTATGAAATTAATTTTTCCACTTGAAAGCCAGTGACAAATATTCAACTGGCCTTATTGACAACTTTTGGCACAAGGTAAAAAAAATAAATAGAACAAGCAGCTCTTGGGTGAAAAACAACCCTGAATGTGGACGCTCATTCCGTTCATTACACTATTCAACAGAGATGGAAAACAGGTCGTTAAAGCTTCACGAATCAAAATGTCGATTCTTAGTGAAGAGTATATTTTTTGCTCATTTTTGCAACTTAAGTCATTTAGTATGTCCTTAACTAATGCTCTCATTGAATGATTCTAAGTGGGAACTAGATAGGAAAATAAAGTTCAGAAGCACTGCATGTACTTAACTTAATTGAACATTATACAGAAACATTCAAGGTATCGAATATACTGCTTATTTTTATGCAACAACTATACTATGTGGACTCCTAGGGGTCTATTTATAAAATGTTTACACACAATTTGCATATCGAATTGGATTCACCCGGAAAAATTTGTGATTTGTGGATGAATGTTATGTGAAAATAGACAGACCCGTTCTTATTGAAAAAGGGAAAATTGCAGGACAATAGGTAAATAAGACAAACTTGGAAAATGCTGTGTTAATGTCTTCTAGTGAGCTGCTTTCAGTTATCAACTACTTAGGACCGCCACCACCAACTAGCTATAAGCAGTAAGTGCCCCAAGTGACTAAAAAAATTACTGGATTTACAATGTTTCATGAGGGAGTTTATATATGTGATAGATAAGATATAGATGATAAAACGGTCTTTGTATACAACATTGAACTAAAATGTACCTAATCAGTAGTAAACACAACAACTTTACCAGGGGGTACTTGTGGGAATGTATCTCTAGGTTTACCAAATTGACAATCAGATATTAGCACAACTCAAAACCAACTAAAAAAAACACTGTATATGCACAATGCAATGTGCATAAATAATGTATTTGCTTTTGAATGTGCCAGTTACGAATAGACACAGTTATGCTGGGCACACACCTTACAACCATCGCAAGACTTTTGTCTTGCGATGGTTGTAAGGTAATCAAAAAAACGTACGATCTGCCCATCTTGGACAGGCAGATGATCGCAAGCCGCGCCCCCCTGAGGGGCGGGCTTCCGATGACCGTAATGCCGAACAGGCAGTGTGCGCTTGCGCACACCAGCCCGCCGGCTTTTATCTTACGAACATGCTACACACCCGCCGAACATCGTACGATGCTCGGCGGGTTTTCGAACATGTTCGTAAGTTAAAAGTCGTGCAACCTTACAGTAGTAGAGGTTGCACGGCTTCCACACACCTTACGATAATCGTACGATCGCGGGATTTCCCGCGATTATCGTACGATTATCCTAAGGTGTGTAAGCACCCTTATGCTTACTAATCTAAGGTTTGAATTGGAAACTTAAGAACACCTGATGAAAGAGTGAATATACAGCTGGTATAGGTTGGGGATGGGTAAGGGTGGG